GTCAAGCTCCTGCGAGGCGCACGTCCTCTCGGACGCCGAAACCAAAGCCAACCTTCTGGCCAGGCCTGCGCGTCAGCCCAAAGGTCCGCCTAGCTGTGGAGAAGCTGGGTAACTGCTTTTAATTTAAAAACGAGTTGACATTGTACAAGTCCGTGTTCTGTAAAATGGAACAGGACCCTCGCGGCCCACCCCGACGCCTTCTGCCCCAGCGTTACTCGGGCTCGCTGCTGTTGGTGGTCTTCTCCCACTCCAAGCTCTCCTCGCTCCGCGCGGGTGATCCTGCCGACGGCCGCGCCCGGAGGCCCTGAAACCTGCGGCACTCGGGGCACACGCGGATGTGCGTGCACCCTCGGGCGACCAGGGCGGCCTCTTGTGCCAGTCTCTGTGCCAGGGGATCTGGCTCGCCCCCGCTGCACAGCTTCCCGTTGCTGAGCGTGGTTGTGCTGCGGGCTCGGCGCTGTTCCTCCGGGATAACGGGGCGAGTCCGTATCATCCCCCCTCGCCTCCGACGGGGGTGGAAACTGTCCTTGCACAGAATGATGTTGCGCAGCTCCGTCACCATTTCTTGGCACACCGACACCTGGAAGGCAGACGCGAGACATACTGCTCACCTAAGCAAACCGCGAGCCCAGCAGCGCTGCTTCTGCTCTGAATTCTGACGCCAAAGTGTTATGGACTTGGTGGTTAATCTGGCCATTGGCTTTCGACACCGACGCTCAGACATTCATGCTTGATTTAGCCCAACAGATTCTGCCTCATCAGAGACTCTCCTGTGTTCTGGATCTCCAAAGCTGTTGCAGGTACAAATGCTCAGGAGATCCCATCTCCAGGAAAGGTACCTGGACATTATACACATCCTTCAAAAGCCCTCAGAGGATCCCTGCAGCCTTGACCTTAGCAGGAGGGCATGAGAAACTCACCTATTTCAGTCCCTGCCCAATGCACCTGTTCGTCTCCTGCATTTGAGGTCGCATTACTAGGAACGCTCATCTCACCTGGGTGCATTACTTGCTCCAGAGCTGAGCATCCTGCAGATAGCAATAAACACACACTATCGCCCCTCAGGACGCTTTAAGGTCCTACCTCTGACTGTTCAGAGTGCCGAAGGCTCCACAAAAATTCCAGCATTGCCATAAAAATCGCTACGATTAAGCCACAGATGAGAACCACGAAGATTCCACCGATATTCTCCATTCCTAAGCCTAAAATAAAGCAGAAGAGACAATGCAGTGGAGAGGCAGACACAACATAAATTGCAATCACATCGCTGTACAGAAATCCCGGCTCTTTGCTGTTTAGTTGGCGTTGCATATACCCAGCCAGGGACCAGAACCACAGCGCCAGCACTGTCCTATTAATAGCTGCCGTATGACTCAGATGGCAAACTGAATGACTTGCAATAACTGCACGATCGAAGATGCGTTCTCAGGAATGATGATTTTGCAGATAAACAGCAACTATATCGGAGGGAAGTACAAAGCAATTTGTGGACAAACTGAAAACAGGAAAAAAAAATGAGAGATCAATCGGGCACATTAATCTCTGCAAATTATTCACCCAGCTCTAGTTACTTTGAACTTAGGGAAGAAGACGAGCAATGTTGTTAAAGAAGCAGAGATGAAGAAGACAAGAAAGGACTTTAAAGGAAGCTGGCAGCAAGAAAAGCTCCTTTGATTGCATTACAAAGCGCTGGTATAAAATGACTACAGCAGCTTGTATTGCAGTGGCAAGAGGTTCCAGACAAGACCAGGACCCAACACTGTTTCACGCTATACGGTGACTGAGCGAGGTCCCTGCTGCTCTCTCTGTCCCACGAGGAGGAAACAGCCCTTCCTTCCATGTGGCGACTCATCTCACCTCCCTTGGACAACTCGCTTACAACAGGATGACGACCATCTCCGCTGATCGCAGGAGCTAGTCAGCCACCTCGGGCCAAACGCCACCAGCCTCACTTAGGGGAGGGACTGAATCACATGCACAGCAGCTGCCAGCCCTGTCCTACACAGCTGGCACCCCAGAAAGCTCACCAGCTGGAAGCAAAATCCATCGCCTCCAGAACCTGCCCTGAGTTTCCTGCCTACTGAGGCTGTCACCTCACTTCCCACCGTGATCCCTGTCTCCAGAACCGCAGCTTCTGCCTCCATCCGGAGCTGGACGGTGAGAGGAGCCGGGAGCAGTGTGCACCTCGTCCCAGAGACGGCTCTTCTCCACTGCGCTCGGTGGGCCGGGGTCTCAAGGGGGCTGGGCCCCTGATTGGATTGATTACTAAAAAGCATGTGGTGCTCTGCACCGAGGTGACTGTATGAGGCCATTACTCAACAAGAACATCTATAAAAATCTTCCACTCCCCTCTGTAGCATTAAATCAAACTGTAAGAATCAATGATTTATTGACTTAATCTCCGCGTGGCTTTTAGACATAAAACCTCACCAAAATCCTTGTAAATTGCTGACCTGTTTTGTTCTAAAACTTAAAGAGGTCACAATTCTTCCCCCTCCTCCGTCATTCTTTTGGCATTGCCTCCAGAGCAATCTAGGGACTCTGTAAATCAGCCCTTTGCAGGGATGTTTCCACTAAGACGGCAATTTCAAGGCAGAAAACATAGCTCATAATCACTGTTTAGACCCAAGATAAAGGCCATCCTCTCCTCCTAGCAGCTCTCAAATTTGAATTTAGAGTCAGTAACTCTCTACATCCTTTTTTCTTTCTACCTGTGTGCCACCTCAGACACTCATTCCCAAGCTCACTGTCCCCACAGAGTCTCACTCAGCCTAGCTCACCAACTGCACAGACACACACGCCTACACCTGCTGCAACGTCGAGAACACAAAATTGCTACCACAGACCCAGCGTGGCTCTCCATCTCTGTGCTCAGGAAGGTCAGAAGACTGTCCTTTCAACTAGGGGACTTGCTGGCCTCGCAGAAAACACTTGCTGAGAAAAGGGTGACTGCCAAAACTAAAAAATGCAGCAACTGCATTAAGCTGGCAACTGCTGTCACGCTGGGATACCAGCCTAATGTGGTAGCTTTTATGGCAATTTACATAGCATTACCCAAAAGAATTTGCTCCTCAGTTTACAGATGTACTAATAAAGTTCTTGTGTCCCTTCCCCTGGCTGTTTAAAAGGCGCTTTCACTTGGAGCCATTAACCAGCGGGCCTGTGGTGGAGATCCATCTCCCTTGAAGGAACGCAGGATTTGGGTTTGATCCCTTTAGCCATCCATTTTCCCAGACATTCATTAGAAGCTAATTTACCCTCCATATGCCTCCAATATTTGTCATTTGGTTGTTCCCGCTATCTCTGCCCCAGGCAAAAACACACAGCATGAGGCACAGCAGAGCTGTGTGGCTTTCTCCTTGAATTGTGAAGGAAGGAATCTCAGGTCAAAAGAAGGGGAAAAAGTAATTCTCAGGCAGGAAACCTGGCAGGGCTCACATGCAGATGGACATTTATCTTCGCACTGCTGACAAGGATGCTTCTAACTGCCTAGTCCCTTCAGCTCACTGTCGGGGAGCGGCACGGCTTACCTTTGGCTCTGTGGTCCTCCTCTTTGGGGCACTTCCCTCCTTCCCACCACTTGCGCTTCAGGATTTCCAGGCGGTTGTTCTCTTGCAGTTGGAGGATGGCCAGGTCAAACTCGTCACGAAACACAGAGCCTGCAACACCAAGAGGCACGTGGTAAGGTACCGCCTCGGCCAGCCTTCCTCCCAACTCACCCCTGCCATGATGCCCTGCCAGCGTGCCCAACTATGAAAGCTCATCTCCGAACCGGTCGGGAGGGACTTCAGCTCATGTAAGCCCTTGAAACCTGCAGTCTCCCTTCTGGCACTGTCAACTAGCTAATGTCATCTGCAGACAGCCGTTTCACCTGTCCTCCAAGAACCACACAGGCCATTCCAGGAGGTTACTACAAGGGGCAGCTTGGGCTTCAGGGCCAGGCTCTGAACAGGCGGGTCAGCATTGTTCCTCCTCTCCTGCCATTCTGCCTCCAGCCTTGCTCTAACCCTCCTTCTCTCAAACTGGAGCACTGCAAGAGCAGCAAGTTCAACCTACACACAAGCCCAAAGGTTCACAGCAGAGGAGGCTCACTCCTGCGAGTTCTGCTACCAGAGATCCTGAAGAAGGGCCGTGGGAAAGACCGCAGCTCTCCTAGTAACTCTGCACTATTGTCCCAGTGAGCAGCTTTCTGCTCTTCTTATCTGCTACGGTTTCACTGTTTAACAAGACAATGTCAGAACAAATTTAGTCCTGAAAGCGAGGATTTGTACTCACGATGAGGTTACTGTGACTTTACAAGCTTATGCATGTTAGCTAAACTATAGTGACTGTTTGTGTGACGGTTCTTACATAATTCACCTTGATTTTGTATTGCTAAGTGCAGGTACTTAAAGGTCAGGAAGAAGGCTTTCCAAGCCCGTGAGACTGCCTGAAAGACCAGCCGATCGCTTGGAATAACAACTACTACATCCTCTTTCTGTGCTGCCTTGGGAGATGACTCTACTCTTGCTGGCTCTCGTATTTGAAAGACAAAAACCCCACATTTGTTAAACCTGATTACTAGTTCAGGTAGTCACTGAAGTGGCCAATTCTCTATCCTGGAGTTTTAAGAATTACCAGCACAGTTAAGAAACTTGTGCTAAAAACGACAAGAGTTGCAAAAGCGTTATTTTTACAGCACTTCTGAGACAAAACAAGGAGCACAAAACGATTCAAAAACACCGGTTCAGAAGGGAAACAGTCAGCAAAGAGCATATATGCAGAAAATAATCAACAATTTTGACACATCTTTCATATGAATTATTTACAGAGCCGCAGTCACGTGTCACGTGGCTCTGAACCAGAGCAGGGTCTCGTACGTCTGCCTCTGAGCACGCACCTGGAGCAATTACAATGTATTTGATTTTCCTCCCGAGGTAAAAAAATAATAAAAAACGACCCTGGGCAGAGCTGTGAAACGTGAGATTGGCTTTAGAGCCGGTTCAGCCTTTCAAACGCTCCGGTCCTCTGCCGACAGCTGAGAAGGACTAGAATTTTTCTTCACTGCCTACCGACGGGCATGCCAATCCCGTAGCCCTTGGTGTCCAGAAGGCCCCCGACCTGCGTGAGGTTGCAATTGCGCTGACGATAATACTCGTTCATGGTGGACTCCAGCAGGAAGGCGTAATTGGAGTTCAGCACGCGCGCAATCCCCTCCTCCGTGCTCTTCACAAACACGCTGGGCTGCTTGGAGTACATGTAGTTCCACATCCGCTGGTACGTCTGGTAGCGGGAGTTCTGCAGGAGAAAAGAGGCAAGAGCAGCTCAAGGGAGGAGCATCTTGCTGTAACAAAGCCCAAATTAGGCGCTACTGTGAAACGGCCACAATGGGGAAAGGATTCAAAGCAGTTTTGGTGCCAGGATTTCGATGCCTAACAGGATTTAGATGCCTAACCTCCATTTATTTCAAAGAGATTTAGAGGGTCAAATATGTTGCTGGATTTGAGACTTTGTTGGCAAAGCTGGGCATGAAATGCCAATAGGTTCCAGCAAAGCTCTTTGCATATATTCAATTTCAGAAAAATACATAGAATCCGTAACAGCATTATCAAAAACAGAGACGAAAAAGCCAGAAGAAATAGCTCATGCTTGGCTGATAGACACCACAGAATGCTCCCTGGAGAGCCCACACCCTGTCATCTGTCACTGCAACCTTATGCTTATGGTTCACAAGCATCAGAGTCAGTCACCATCACCCCGGGGAGTGAGCTCCAAAGAGCTGAAGCTCTTTGGAGTTTGCTGCTCCCTGAATCCAGATTTTGGTTCCCCTCCTTTGTGAGGCAAATCAAGAGTACCTGCTTAAGGGAACGGGAGTCTTTGCATTGACTGCAGTAAACTCAAACTCACCCAGCCCGCTCACACCATCTCCTCTCCCAGCCAAGGCAGCAGGGACGTGAAGTGCTGCCAGCTACCTGCTGCCATCGCACTTCCAAGGGCTCATTTTCGGTGGCAATGCTGGAGAGCCTCAGCCAGTCTGCTGCTGACCTAGCTGCTGTCCTCATCTGTCCAGCTCTGTCCTCGGGGTGCAGTCACTTGGGCAAGGGACAGACGAACAGGGTGTGTGTTTGCTCCCCATTCACTGCACCGTTAAACCTCAACAATTCACTGCGCTTGACCCACCACCTTACACCAGAGGCAAACGGGTGCCAACGCAGGTAAAGTGTTGCAAATGGGACTCTCCTACAAGGAGCTCTTACATCTTTTGCTAAAGAGATGTTCTTACATCTTTTGCTAATTTCTTCTCTGATACCAGCAACTCCAGCACCCGCCAGACAGCGCAGAGCCCACAGTCAGGATTTTAAACTTGAAAGCCTTCCTGAAAAGAACTAAGCGAGTGCCTCATATTCAACCACCTTAGTCACTTGGGCTCTGTTCAGCTCATTTTAGATGTAGCGTTCTGCTTAAAAGTAGCTTTTTGCCAAGCCCCTGAAGGGTGTAAAGTTGGGCTGAAAAGCTCAGGCTCACCCGAGAGATTTCTAAGGCTTCCTAATTCAGTTCAGACTCAGAGAAGAGAAAAAGTGAGAAAAGCTTTCTCTCCTCTCCGAATTTCAACAAGTAATAAATAAATAATCCTCAAGCAGTTCTTTGTGTATTCAGAGCACTGCAGAAAAGATTCACTTATTTGTTTCCCTTCTGAATAAAGCAGGGAAGATAAAAATTAAATTGGGCTAAATTGCCCACATAAGTTTGCATACACTTGATTTATTTGTTTTCAGTGCCACTGACCACATACAGACTCCAGCTCTTTGACACGTGCTAACCTTCCTGGGATTTGCAAACATTTCTTTGCTTACCCAACCTGAGACTCTCGCGTATAAGCTGAGAATCACATCAAAACTGCACAGAGACCCATGGAAATTTAAGTGGAGGTGCTCAAGCCATTGTTAGACCATCACTGACACAGGGATCTGTACCACTTTCCCACCCATGTGGTGACGCTCCAAGTGCTAAGCTGCTTTCTAAGTCCCATCAGGAAAGTCTGCTGCTCCAGGGCCAGGACATCTGTGCTAATCTTCCAGCATCCCAAGAGCAGGCCAGGTGCCACATTACAAAATCCTGCCTTCTCTGTCCTCCACCGCATCTCCCCCATCACTCGTCCCACCACCACCCGATGCGGATCCAGCCCAGTCCTGTGCAACCAGGCAGCCAGGGGTCTCTCCAGAGATCTCCTCCCAGGCCAGAAACCAGAAGGAAACAGGCATGACGGATCAGGGGGGTGACATCCAACTTTAACTAAAAGGTGCCCTCTGCATGCCCTGCCCTAGGCAGCAAAAGAATGGGGTTTACTTGGAAGAAGGTCATGCTGGAGCCGCCATGAATGGTGCCATACTCAATGGCTGTCTGGTCAGCCAGGTCATCCACGGATTCAATGGGGACGTCCATCCGCTGCACGGTGAGGAAGGCTGCCAGATTGGCCGTGTAGGAGGAGATGATGATCAAGGTGAATGCCCACCTAAGGAAAAGGGAAGCAAACACTCCCTATGGAGTGAATCTGATCTCCATGCTCACCCTCTCTGCCTCTCCATGTGCTTCTGCCCAGAAAAAAACCACAGAGAAGCCTTCCTCCTTACCAGACTCCGCTGACACAGCGTGTGGATAACGCTTGGGGGGCGATGGTTGAGCCTTGCTGCATGAACCCCCCGACTGGAAACCACAAGCTGTTGCCCAGAGAGTACTGATTCACGAGAAGATTGCATCTGCCTTGTGAGCAGGGGTGGGGGCTGTACCACTCGTATGGCGTCAACCTAAAATTACAAAAAATAGGTAGCTTGGGTAACTCAATAGGAAATGGGGCACTTTGGAGAAAAAAAGAAAAAAAGGAAAAGCTGTGAAGCCCTAACACTCCTGGAGGCTCATTTTTCTGAGGAGGAAACTCTTTGCTGTCAACTGATGCCCAGGGCTCAGCGCTGTGTGAAATGCTTGCTCTAAGGCTTGGAAGCTAGGGGCTTTCTTGCAAAGATATGCAGAAGTTTTGAGAGGCTCTGCTGAAAATCTGGGCATGGGCTACAGGGAGGCTGGAGCCTTGTGTGCAAATTCATCCTGCAGACAACCACAACAGTAATTCCAGATGCACACAGACTTGATGTGAAATTGAAGTCTAACATCTTTGGCTGTGTTCCCTGCTGCAGAATGAGCATCAATGGGAAATTCAAAAATGAAGTGAGACCTGACTGCACGGCACCATGAAGAAAAATAACTGCATTGGTGCAAACGGCTGCTGTGAGAGGGTTCAATTGCCACAGCAAGGTCTAGGTCCCAGGTCTAATTTGAAGCCAACTGCTGGTATTTTGAAGCATCGCATACTTTCAGCACTCACAGGGACAGGACAGAGTTTGGGATCCAAAATAACTGACAGCCTGTCACTGAAGTGATGATAGCCTAGCTCTCTTTTTTCAACGTTTCCAACCCTCAGTTCCCTGGTTGCTAAGAAAGCCTCCTAATTCCTATGCCGCAGTTCGTTATACTGCTAATGGTTAATAAAGCTGGTGCCTGGGAGGGTCATTTGGGGGATACTGCCAATACAGCTGCAGGGATCTGCCAGCTTACACAGCATTTAACCAAATCGAGGTGTTTATTTTCATTTCTGCATCTCCTACCTCACTGTGATGCCAGGGAGGTGGAGGTTATTTCTTGGAGACTTTCTATTGTTGGATCAAGCACTGGCAGTAAAAAGCAGTGCTCTGGGAGAGCCTTGTGGGATTTGCAGGGTCGAAAGCTCCTTACTGCTGGGCATGGCGGAGAGCAGAGTCCAAACCTCCACCTTCAGCAGCAAGCATGTAAAGGTACCTTTTTGGAGGATGATATTTAAAACATGAAGAGAGGGCTAAAGAAGCACCAACTCTCACTCTGCAGAGAGCATCAGACTGCATTATTCAATGGTTTCTTCAGAACTAGGTTTTTGAGGCTGTAACAGCATTTGAAGAAGCCATTAAAGTCCTGTCAGGAAGACAACTTTAGCCATGCCAAGGGAACAAGTGACAGCACAGTTCCAATTTCTGTAATGAGAATTGGGTATTAACCGAGTCCCCAAAGAGCTGTCGAGCCCTGAGCACGTCTTTGGTGCACATTGCCAGGACACAGGTCGACTCTGTCTGAAAAGGCCTGTCTATGCCACGAACCATAAGCGGTTTGTGAGGAGGTCAGGGAAAACAGCAGTGGAGCACGGACCTTGATGGAGACACGCTGCAGACAAGCACTCAGTGATATATTTTAAGGCCGATTTAAATTAGTCAGTGGGAAACAGAACTGAGAGCTGTCAAGCGAGGCTCTGCACATCAACCAAGAGGCTGTTGAAAGATATTAATGAACTTTCTTTTTCTGTACATGCTGGGCTTTACAGGGCCAGAGGAACTAAACATCACTACTGGAATTTGCATTAATATCCCCGACTGCATTTGCCAGCCTCCACCCTCCGTGTCCAAGGCAAGAGGATGGTTTATCTGCTGCAGACCAAGCATCTACAGGGAGCAGCTCCGTTTGCGCAGCACCAGCCCTACTCCCAAACCTCCTCCCAGCCACCGCTGCGGTCAAACACGCTCCTGAATCCGGGCACACTGGTGTCCTGGGCTATGTCCCCATGTCCCCAACCCCTCACCACGTACCCCCTCCACGGTGTGGAGGCGTGACGCTAGATGGCACCGTGAGGAAGGAAAAGGCACGTTACCGAGCCACCAAGAAGAGGACGCAGCTGACGGCCAGGTAGGCGAGCAGCATGAAGAGCCAGACGCCAGGAGAAAAGGGATCCAGGAACGAGAAGTAGCCAGGTTTGCGGCCCTGGGAGGGAAACACAAGAAAGGAGTTCGACTTACTTGTATTTCTACAGATTAAATAGTCCTTCCTGAAAACAACAGGAAGAAATGCACCTGCCCCAATACTGACAATGGGATGCTGATGGGAGCAGCAGAGGGAAATAAAGAAAATAGGGCTTTGCGAACACCTTGCAAGGGAAACAGGTGACAGCAAATACAACAAATGACCAAGTGCTGCAGCACCTCCCTGCTGGGATTCATCTCTCAGGACTATTCTTCTCCCCATGTCTACTACTTCTGCTCCTCCAGGTAAAGAAAGAGGCGAACTGACAGAGAAACTGAGACAATCGCAGAGGTAGGGTGTGCTGCACCCCTCACCTGCAGAGCCTCTGAGGGGAAATTCCACATCCAGAGCCCTTGTGCCCCCCAGCAGGCTCACACCAGGCTTGCTGAGCAGCGGGGGCTTCCCTGGGAGAGCATGCCTGAGCTCAGAGATGAGTGGGATCCTTTGCACGAAGCAGGGCGGAGAGAAAATATTTTTGTGCAGAAAAAGCAAAAAAATAAAGAGGTTTGCAATATTTCTGGTTTCCTTTCTTAAGCCTTGAAACATTTCTTCTCCACACAACTCAATAAAAATATTACTTTTATCTCAGTGCACACGATATTTTTATCTCCAGGATGCATCAGAATTTCCTGTTTTTTCTCAGCAAACCACCTTTCCTTGAGAAGTAAAGCCTCACTGCTAGAAAAAGCAGGTTGCTCTTGTCTCAGAGTCCCTTACATTTTCACAAGGACACTGCCAGCACTGAAGTCTTGTCAAATGCAGCAAAATTTGTCCAAAGGGAGGATTAATTTGTATAAGTTTCTCAAAAGCCGAACACCTCCCGTCTTGGTGAGGGTACTTCCACCACCACCAGCTCTGCATAGGCAGCTCCTCCACAACAGGCTGGGGAAAGAGCAGCCTCGAATTTCCCTCCCAGCACACTCGAGGCCACAAGCCCCAGGACTAAAGAGGTGCTCTTTTGCTCTAGTGCAATTTACAGTATCAGTGTGGAGCAGGGAGAGCTTTGTTCCAGTTCTACACTCCCCTGACACACCTCTGGCACCCTGAGACCTTCCAGTATCGAAACCTCAGGCAGCATCTCTCCTCTGAAAGGATTAACCCTGTGGTTTCCCCAAGCACCTGGGAAGCTGCCCAGAGCTCCTGTGAAGGTTTTTACTGTAAAGTCAGGGTGGAAATAGCTTTTTATCACATCTCAGCCAGGCTGTCAGCATATTTCTTACCGGCACCTTGCTCTGCTGAAAACATCTATCACTGTTTGCTCAATGCAGCTCACTCAGGCAGCCCCTTCCCAGCACAGCAGCTGCTCCGCTGTAGGTTGCTCGCTTCACGCAAAAGCTGCTGCTGGGGATCATCTTTGACACATGGAGGCCTCATTTTTCCCTAGTCTGCTGCCTTACCCTGCCCGTCTGTGACACCACATAAAATAATAATAGCTGGTAATAAATAACGTCTAATCTCAATTGCCATAGCAAACCCATGGCCATCAAAGACCAGAGTCCTGGTATTTTAGAGCTGTGCTTAATCCAAAAGTGGTGAATAATTTTGTGTTTCCACAGAAGTCCCAAGGAAATACAGTTGCTTTTTTTTTTCCTTCCTCAAACTCAAACCAGCACTTCAAATTCCACTCCATTTCCAGTAAAAAACACTGTTTTACTACCAAAGTATTCCCTATCTTATGCAAAATCTAAATTTCACAAGGTCTTGATAGTTCTTCTGAAGACTACGTTGTTGCTAGAAAAGGCAATAGCTGTTGCACAAAAATCTTCCTCTACTAAAAATATCCAGGATACTGTGATATTCTCAGCTCCAGTCACCAGCTGGGACTACAACGTATCAGAAACCTTCGACAGCAAACTCTGCCCTGCATGAAGTCAAAAACCATCACACCATAACATCCTATCCCTGTATCCTTAGGGAGAAGATGAGTTTGAGCTCAGGATCCACATTAGCATTTTTAGAGAATCTGGCTAATTAAACCTTTTGATAAATAGATGAGCTCAGAATCAGTGGTTCAGACAATGCTGCATCCATTTTCAGATTAATTTAAAGTCAGTTTCCAAGCAAAGGGTCAGGTTCTCCTGGGAATAATTCCAGAGTTCCTCTTTAAGACAAGGTCTGTCTTCCACGTCAGGTTATTTTACTGCACTTGGTGAAAGATCCGACATTCTTCTTCTGTCCTTTCCCTTTCTTTGGCCAATTGCTGTTGTGTTCTGCTTTTTCTTATATTCAACTGACTGCTACAGCCAGCATCTGCACCAAAACCAAGAGCCTCCAGAGCCAGAGGCACTGCTGGAAACAACACCCGCAGCATCCCAGAGGGACTCAGGCTTCCAGTAACATCCTTTGCTCACCCTGCAGGAGCTCCTCGCAGTAGTTCAGAGAGGTGAGGCCATCTCACGGGTCTGCAGGCTCCAAGGTGAATGAAATGCTCTTGGCTGAGCAAACAGGAGCCTCTAAAGCAGAAGGTAATGTGGGTGGCTGACCCCTCCCGGAGCTGGCAGAAACTCCCAGGCACTGGCAGTGCCTCGGCTGTGGCTCCCTCACGAGATGCTCCCATAACAAAGTTCCTCTCTGTAATTAAAGCCTTGGTGTCTTCTCTGTATTTCTGGGGCAGTTTGTCAATAAATTATGCTCATTAAGGAAATTGCGTTGGAAGCTTTAAGTCTCAGGCTTGGCAATGACTCTCTCCTGTGACTTTACAGTAGTAGTAGTAGTTCTGGTTCTTTTCAGCTACAGTCATTTTCAGGCTGCTGCTACATATTCTTTTCATTCACAGTTGCAGATAAGAATAAAGATATTCTGTTCCCACGGAGGGCACAAACTCTCTCTTATCTGTCTGTTTTGAAGATGGGAATTGACAATATCTGGAGCCTGTCAGATATTTTTAGCCGGTCCCAATACAGCTTTGTTAATTGCAAGAGCTATTTTTCCTGGAATAGAAATGTCCAATAATTGATGAGTCTCTCCTGCTAATCCTCAGATGGAAGCAGGAGAGATTCATTTACCCTCCTAAGTTGTTCTCGGAAGTCTTAATTTCCAGCCAGAGTGAAGCAGTTTTCTGGGCAGATACTGGGGACCGAGGAGCCCGACTGTGCAGGACAGCCGGGAAGAGGAGGAGGAGCAGAGCTATAGGGCACGGTCCTGGATTTGCCTGCAAGAGACCTTAGAACCCCCTGCCTCTTCTGCACAGCCACACACAGACTCTCGGGAGACCCCAATGCTTGCCGGCTCCCCCTCGCAGGAACCGTCAAGCCCTACCTATGTCACTCCTCATAGATGCTTGTCCCTAAAAAAGGCAGGCAAGAGAACTCTCTTCTGTCTCCTCAAGTCGGAAGGAAAGCAAGAAAGCTGAGCCTGGAAAGGCAGAAATTTTGCTGCGTGCTAGGTATAACTGCAGTGCGCTCGGTCTCACCCAAACAAAGCGTGCATGTTGTAGGACAACCACGTCTGATCCAGATCTAGACCCCTCCGTCTCCAGGGTCCTATCTCTGGAGGCACCAAACAAAACCCAAGTGCAGGCTGCTGTGCCTGCCAAGCAGAGGGGCTGCTCAGGACGTGCCATCTATCTCCTGCCTTCCACAGGTCCCACCAGCCGGTCAGAACGAGAGCACAATAAACCAAAGCAAGTCTTTTCTCTTAGCAGCCTCTAAGTCAGAAAGCCTATTAGAGTTTCCGTGTCAGAAATCCATACTTGATTATATCACAACAAGTGAAATTGAGAAAAATGACAGCCCCATTTAAAGCTGCCATATTTGGTTATGTGTGATAAGAGGCACATGCACTGTGGTGGCTGGGTTGGCGGGGTGGGGAGGAGAAAGCGGGGAGAAATCATTCGCCACTGGAGTTATATGGAAATTAAAATCAAATGTCATCACATTGGGAGGAGACCAGGGTGTGGAGGCAACTCAACAGCAAGAGATATATTTGTGCTTATTTATCAGGCTACATCTGATCTGTGCTGTGATTAACATACGTCAGCTGCAATTTCTGACATTGAGGAGATGTTTGTTGGGGCGGAGAAGGAAGGGGAGGGAAGGGGGTAGAAGCAGATGGGGCTGTGGGGCTGCCTTCCGTCGCTCTGCAAACCGCATCCTTAAAGGAAGACCAGAGCAATTAGCTATCTTGCCTTTCCTTGTTAAACAAATATTTACCAGTTTAGTCAGTTAATTGCCGCACAGCTCTCAGGCAATTCTCTCAAGCTAAGCAGGAAAGGTCTGCACAAAGAGGGGCCAAGTGCTGGAGAAGGAAAGGGGGCTCCGAGCTTATATGAATCATAGGAATCACAGAACGGCCTAAGCTGGAAGGGACCTTAGAGATCATTTTAATCCAGCCTTCCTGCCGCCAGGGACACCATCTCTAGACTAGATCGGGCAACACATGGGAGCTTCCCTGCTGGGAAGACCTCCCTGCTCCTGGGAAGGGGCTGAGCCCAGACTGGCCCTGCCATCGCTCCTCACGGCCTCGAAGGAGCCCAGCAGAGCTCACTGCGGGGTGACCTGACCTGAAGATGCCCCGTGTGTCCCTTGCAAGCCTGCCCGGGTCACTGGGCAGCTCTCCTATTCCAAGTCCCAACTGGGTCCTTCACTGGGCAGCTGAAGGCCAAGTCCTGACCCACGGCAGGGGACTATTTGCCAAACACTGTTTAAGACTGTAACTATTAATCCTGTTTGGTTTGGTAAATGCCTGAAGGGCAGAAGCACGGCTGTGTTGCGCTACTCTGGTACCAGTGCAAGCAGCAGATGGTCCCTGCCCTGAAGAACTTACACTCTAAGCAGACATGTCAAACACATTTATATCGAGCTCGTGCAGAGGCAGCAGCAAGTGCTCTTATAGAGAAGATCACATGTGAACCCTGCACCAATATTCCTGTGTTCCCTCTGGAGGGAGCGACATCAGCCTCCTTTCGTTCAGGGAATGATGCCTCGTAAAGGGACTTGAAGGTTGTGGAGTAAATCAGTGGCAGGGCACGCACGCTACTCAATCCCCACAATTTAAAAACATGCATGAGAAAATAAAACACTTTATTATGAGCACAGTCAAGAAATACTAGCAGAAACACCTCCCAGATCCACAGGGCAGCTTATGGTGTTAAAAAGCAAGTACGGCAGGGGAGGGACAGTTACTTCTGATTTCCAGGAACTTGAAGACTGACCCTTTGTGATCACTTATCCCAAATTTTGCCCACAGAATTTCAACTAGATTTTAACTACTTGTTCTTGGCAGGAGCCACTCAGCACACAGAGATATATGTGCAAGTTTGTTTATGTCCATACCTTAACAGCCTTCTGAATGGAAAGGGGGTGCCTGGGACAGGCAGCTTTAATTTAAGGTTAATCCTCGTGGCTGCTATTGGCGAGTTGATGGGAAACCAAGACTGTAACTTGCACTACACTCGGCTCTGTACAGAGCACATTTCCAAAACACAAACTGGGAATAATACCACATCCTGTTGCAAAGGACCTGGCTGCCAGAGCTCACCTCCTGTGACACTGGAGCTTTGCCCGGCCCATAGGGGCACAGTTGGCGAAAAATCTGTCCTACCCTGAGTGTCAGGAAGAAGATAGAACAATGGGCTGCTGCAGCCCTCCAGCGCAGCACACCTCATCAGAGCCAGCTCAAAACCAGGCTAAAACAATCCTGTGGCTTTGGCTGGGCCTGAAGCAGAACCAGACAAGCTGACACACGCCTACACTTCCCTGGGTAGCGCAGGTCTGCATGGCCTCCCCCATGCAAGGGAGCATCGCGTGCCCGGGGAGGATGGCGAAGGGGAGCCAACAGGGCTGGGGGTTTGAACAACGGGAACACAAACCACCGAGCTGACACAAGGCAGAAAGACAGAGAAAAGAAGGAAAGAAAGGTCGAGCACATTTGTGTTTAAATAAGAAACCAAAATAATTTTACGAGTCATTCATTTTTCTTCTGTAACTAGGCACGTTTGCATGCAAATAATGGCGGGACGTAAACGGTTATAAAATAAGTCTCTTACCATATGAACTCGGTAGAGAATGCTAATTCCCAAAGTCATGAACGGCTTAGAGAAATCAATCACCTTCTCACGCTCCGCGGTAATCGTCAGCCCTGCCACGGCCAAATCGGCTTTCTGGAGAGAAAGGATAGCAGAGAAGATCAGAAAGCTGCGCCCGGGAAAGGCGTGAGGCAGGGACAGCAGCAGAGCTGTGGCCGGGGCCACACACGACACCCACTCCTGGAGGATGGATGCCCCATCTTTCTGGGATGGGGGGTAAAACAGTTACTAGCACATGCCATAAATAGGGAAGCATAACAAAGCAGCATCGTTACCTCGTAGCCCAAGTCATGAAGTTTACAAGCCTGTCAACCCCAGCCTTCCAAAACTGCAGATCAGCCTCCAAAAAAATTCAGAGAACCGGCATAAAGATTTCGAGATTAACTTGCAAAGTGAGTGAGATTATGGGAAGAAAATATAAATAATTTCTTCCAATGTTAATACCCTTGTAACATAGATAAGGGATTTGAATTTTAAATATTTTTATTACTATAGCTCTTTTAATGTCTGTAATTGCTTTCTGTAAAAATGAAACCTCCTCCATTCCTTTACACATTTGCTTGCCTGCTTTGCAGGGTGATGATTATGCAAGTGGAAAAAGAGAAGGAGGTGGGGAGGGAAGAAAAGCTATTTGCACTTGTTGTCCCTAAGTTTCATAAGGTCTGTGCAGAAACCAAGGCACCAACAGACCCAGCGAAACATGGATCCACGCGCTAGTTGTAAATGCACCACGCAAAGGCAAATCTGTGGGTTCATCACTTTTAGCACACTGACCCTGCTGCTCTTGTACTGTTTCCCTTAACAGAAAGGGGGCTAATCGCCTCCTGCAGAGCTTTGCTGGGGGATCCTTCCTCGCTCCCAGCAGACGTCCTTACTTAAAGGCAGGCAGGAAGGAAGGGCCATGAAAGGCTGGAGTTGCAAGAGGGAAAAGCAGCACTGCTGGAGCCTGCGGGAAGAAGGGAAGGGAAAAAAAAACAAGGCAAGGTGATCTGTGAGTCTGCCTAGTAAGGGGGGGGTCACAGAGAAGGTGATATTTCACACTCCATGCAGGGCTGCTTTATTGGACAAGCCCAGTGCCAGATTTTTGCAATCATTTCCAGGCAGCTATTACAGATTCCTAGGAGGTTCAGGCTGGAATGAATTATGAGCTAGGGAAAATTTCTGCCTAGCCAGACGTTTACCCACAGGGTTTTTAAAAGGCACCAATAATCACAACGTGGTGTGTGAGTAGTTGAGCCTTATGTAAACACCAGCAGATTACTAAGATGGGATCAATTCATCTGTGGAACATGGCATGTGAGGAATTTTATCCCCGAGAAAAGCCTAAAGCTTCCTAAATCTCTCTTGTCTATCCTTAAAACGGTTTGCAGGTACAATCGTCCTGGGGAGAGCTCTCCCAGCAAAGTCCCTCGTGAAGATACAGTTTATTTTAACCTCTCCCAGTTCTCCAAACTGAATACAATTCTATCAGCAAAGTCATAGACTAAATAGCTGGCAAATACGTCACACCGAAGGTACTTCATGCAAAAGCTCTACAGACACTTCCACTCCCATCCAGGGCCAAAACAAAGGTGCTGCTGAAAGAAGCAGCTCCTTGGAGCAGAGATTGGGCTTCTGGCTTTAGCTGGAACTGCACTTTGACAAAGACTCTCTCTTTCTTTGCAGGCTCAAAAGTCATGCTAATGACGAGCTAATCTCTGGCAGCAATAGCCTTTCACCCAAGAATGGCGTGCCATGTATTATCTGCCTGAATATTAGCCACTCCAGGCTTCTGATTTTGTTTCCTGATGTTCACCAAACTTCTTGTGATTCACCGAGGTCAGCGTGTCTTAGTTACAGAGGAGCTCTGCAAACCTGAGTGGCTCTCCAGCCCTCCCCACCTGAGCACATGTGGGAGTTTGCATTTTACAGGCTAAACAACGCACTGGGGACAAAATGGATTTTGCTTTGTACTTCTGCACTGTCCACAGCTGGGCTCTGGGGAAAGGGAGAACGCGAAGCAATGGATGGGGGGAAGAGGGGGCTTGATTTTCATCCTTCCAGCACAGTCGCAGCTATAAACGTCAGCGTGAAATAGGCTTAAAAAAAGACCCGGAGCATTTCGGGAGTAGAAGCAGACACTTTTTTAACAAAACACCACTTAAACAAGGCCAAACTCTCGCTGGGCGAGAGGAGGCCCAGGTGGGCTGGTGTCTGAGACAAATGCATGAGCTGCCACCACCATACCTGGCATTAACTATGGGATCTGCCTGCATGAGCATGGCTCGCGCTGCCGCTGCAAAGGATGTTAAACATGGGGGCTGAGCCGGGCTCCTGAAGAGGAACAACAATTAAGCAGCCTTAGGAAGCAAATTGCAGGGACTGCCAGTCCGGAGGAGGCAGCCGCCTCCTCGCTGCGGATGCTGACAAGGCTCATCTCGGCGCTAATGGTGATGAATGGGGCCTGACGTCAGCCCTGGGCTCGGGCAGAGGATCCCGCCAAAGCCTCCCACGGCACGGGGGACCAGCCAGGAGACCGGCCCTGCAGAGATTCACAACCTCCCGTCAAGCTATGGAAACAAAACACAGTGAAAAAGTTTAAGTGATGCAAGAGTTTGGGCTGTTTCTGTGTCAGACACGTGGAAAACAAGCCTGCAGGACAGCTCTGGGAGTACAAGGCTGGGAATTCTTCCTTCTCAGGATTAATCTTCCAGGAGCAGCAGTCCCTGACTTGAACGCCACCATGGGTGCTACATCCCCCAAGTGCACACTAAAGCATCATCTGCCCACAGAGCACTGACGGTGCAGCCAAGGTCAAGGAAAGCCATTTCCCTGTGCTTAGGGGGCTTTCTAGGGAGCTGAACTCAGTGTTCAACCTTCAGGACCCACCTGGCTGGATGAGGGTCACTCCAAACTGGTGTTTGGATTTTTCTAAGGATGTGCATGGATTCTGCCATAAGAAAAGTGACAGCCTGAACGCCCGGGAGCTGCAGCCTTGGCGCAGGACACAGTCAGGGATGGGATGACCAGCCGACAGAGCAGATGTAAGCCTCAGGTCTGCCTTCACCCACCTTCCTACATCTGGACTATCTCCAGGAGTGGGAGGAAAACATCTGTGCCAGGTGTTCACCGCGTTCATGGCAAAAGGCAGGTGAAGTGAAATACTGAGAACGGGGACCCTGAGCCCACAGGGAACAGCGGCGAGACCAAACCAGCTCACACCACACTCACCATCCTGTGCGCAGTTTGGGCAAACACAGCGGCACGATGCAAACCTCTCTGTCCACACCCTCACTGTGTTTGCTCAACAACCCACATACCCTCACTTCCCCACTCCC